CTTTCACTATACGTGCATTGATCTCATCACTAACACCCCCACCAGCACTTAAGCAGCTACCTGAATACACGAACTTCTCGACTACTTCTATCTGCTCACCATCCAGAGTGAGTACAGGATTAGAATCCTGCAGGTCTTGTAGAAGTACTTTGGGCTTCGAATGTGCAAAGCACATACCATACCTACGGACGTTGATTGCCAACTGATTAAGTGTGAATGTCATCGATGGAAAAGTTGAAGAGCAGAGTGTTCTAACTTGTGAATAAACTTGTTTTGTTTAAGTGAAACAAATTGCCAAGTAAAAATTGATATGGAAATATATATATGAGAATGTTTCTTTTACACATATTTGTTTTTTTATAACTAGCTGGTTAGTTACTCTTTAGTGATATTGTTTGTCGGCTTCATCTAAAAGTGATGAAATTTCACTTGGATTGATAATGCAAAAGCTTAAATTAGTTTACTATTCAACTATAAAACTTTACTGTAACAGTTAATAACTCATATTTTAACAATTATTTATAACCATTTACGATTTATGATATAGAGTTCAGCATTTTTGATCAATAAATTAAAATCCTTATATACCTGAATAAGATCCATAATGTAAAAGAATAAATTATCATGAAATAACTATCTGTTCATAGACCGATTTCAACTTTATACTATCACCAACTGTCATGTATAATTTAATTATTTGTACTAGACACTATCATACAATTATTATTCAGTGTCATTGGTAAAAATGCAATCAAAGAAAAATTATGTAACTTGGATGGTTATTTCTGTTTGACTTTGTTTATTTTTAATTAGAGAATAATAATCAATTTTTTTTTTTGACATTACCCTTCGTTTAATTCACTCAATATCGTTATATCTTTCGAAAATCAATAATGGCAATCAGTTAACTCACTCAGTCAGTCATTCAGCTACAACGAAGGACCAGGCACATATATGCATCTGTCCAAGTTGCCATACCTCATTAACACAACAAGATGAACACCGGATTAATATAAGTAGTCAATGCAGAGGTGGTAATTTATAAAAGAAAGATTGTATATAAGAACATAGTACAGGAAGAAAGATTTAGCTCGTAGAAAGAAAGATATGAAGTGATTTTAATCTCTTAGTTTAAGGGAAGACAGAGAGTGTGATCGATTCTGAGCCATGTCACCAAGAGTCTCCAACCATTGGTTACGACAGTCACGCGGACCCCAACCAAGTAGTCTGCATCTACCAACATGGTACAGACCACAAGTTAGTGACTTCAAGCACTGATGCCACGTTTTGGTTTGGTCGCCCCTAACCTTCTTCCAACCATCTCCAACACCGGTTAGCATTGCACGTCGTGGTAATCGGTGTTCACGCATACGTAATACGTGGCCCAACCATCTCAGTCGATGACGATTCACAACCTCATCAACTGATTTACCATCATTCCCTAATACCCTGCGTCTAACCTCACTATTACTTACCCGTGATCCCAGCAGACGCCAGCAATATTTTTAAGGTATCTGTCGTCAAATACTAGATGCCTACGAGTGTCTTCTACTCTTAATGGCCATGTTTCGCTGCCGTAAATTAAAACAGAACGGACTGCCGCGCAGTATACTCGTCCTTTTAATGATAGACGGATATCTCGTCTTCGCCATAGGTGACGTAAGTTGGCAAAAGCCAAACGAGCTTTTCGAATCCGTGCAGAGATTTCGTCAGACACCAAACCAATAGGGCTGATCAGACTTCCAAGATAAGTGAAGCGGTCGACACGCTCAATTACTTCACTCCCTATCCTTAGTTCAGGTGTTGACGCAGACCAGTCCTGAAGCACAACTTGCATTTAGAGAGAGAAGCGCATTCCAAACATTCTGGCATTGTTGCTTAGTGCTACCAAAAGACTCTGCATTTTGTCAGCGTCTTCACCAAACAGGACTATGTCATCTGCATATTCTAAGTCGATAAGTGGACCTCCTGGAATGAGATCAATACGCGAGAATTCAATCGACGAGAATGTTATTTCCATCAGTAGGTCTATGATGAAGTTAAACAAAAATGGAGAAAGTGGACAGCCTTGACGGACACCACTTGAGGTTGCAAAAGCAGATGACAGTTCGCCATAAGCTCTGACTCGACTAGTAGTGTTCGAGTAAAGAGTCTTCACAAGGTTTATGTACTTCTGAGGTACGCCTTTCAATGGCAGACACTGCCACAGAATCTCGCGGTCCACGGAGTCAAATGCTGCTTTTAAGTCAAGAATTAAATTTTTAATTTGTAATGAATTACATATATTGGCGTCACAAGACAAGCCCTCACATGGAATCCTGAAGGTCAGAGGAAAAGAGGAAGACCAAAGAACACATTACGCCGAGAAATGTAGATAGACATGAGAAAAATGAACAAGAATTGGATGGAATTAGAAAAGAAGGCCCAGGACAGAGTGGGTTGGAGAATGCTGGTCAGCGGCCTATGCTCCATTGGGAGTAACAGGTGTAAGTAAGTAAACATATATTGGCTTGCTTATACACTTGTTAAGATTTATCTATTCATACTTGAAGAGGAAAATATGAATAACGGAGATAGAATTAAATTGAATCCTTTTGTTGTACAAATAAAACTTTCGAATAGAACGAAATTTGAAAGAAGTGTTTTTTTAAACTCAAAATACGGTGTATATTGTAGAGTTCCCGTTATTTAACAGATAAGAATCAAGATACTTTCAAATAGCAATCAAAAGCAGGATAGTTTTGTTCATTATTTATTGATAGGTAAGTAATCAGCTTTAAGTGATACATTGGAATATGAACTTTACTAAGTGTGTTTAAATTTAGTCGCTGCAATATCTTGGTCCGTCTAATTGTGTTTAAGATGTTTAATAATAATAATATATTTTTTGTTATATCCCAATGAGTAGAAAAAATGTATTTCTGACGTTTTGTGACTTAATGTAAGCCACTTCTTTAGAGTGAATAAATAACTGAAAAAAAGAAACAAAAATATACTTATTAGTAACTTTCTACCCAACGCTCAACTTGTTTGAAACTATCATATCCAACCTATAAAATATTTATCATTTGGCTAGTAATAAGTTAATATCTGAAATTAAACTTTGACGGTACCTGAACGTAAACTCACATGAGCTAAATGTGAGCTGTAATTGCAAAATTAAATTTATTCTGTGCAAAATCCACAAGTCAAAAATCTATTTCTGGTTTCGATTACCTAGTTCTCGTGACTTAACAATTATTCATCGTTTCTGATTAATAGTTATGTTTAATGAGTCATAAGGTCATGTTTTATCCTATTCCCCTTCCGTTTACTTTATATCACGAACTGTTAATGCGAGTTAAGAAGTTACCTGTTCAGTTTTGAGGAAAATAATGCTCTCAGTGCTCCAAAGAATTCGATCAGCATAAACGATTATAAAAAAGTGATATTAATTACTACTCATCGATCAATCAGTGATATCTAGATTGGTGGTTCAACTTTAGTTACCAATTTATTGTTGATTCATTCGAATTATTTGCCTTTTAAAAGTTACTCGACTAAAAAAATGGTTAGAAAATGTTTTTCATTTAATTTCATTTTTGAGGGGACTAAATATTCCTGAGGGAGTGAGATTATTCCACTATTTAAATCAATATGTGATTTTCTGTGAGGCTTTTTTGAATTTCCATAATAATTTACATAATTGATTACTTTCCTCTAAATAATCATTGAAAACCATGAACCGTTGGACAAATGATTATTTACACCTGGCTACTTCCCAGTCATGCACATTAAAAACCTCACATGAGATTGATCCATTCAAGATAAGTTTTTTTTTGGGGGGGGGAAGAGATTGAATCCAACAGTCCAAATCCCTGGCTGTTGTCAATTCGTGAAATCACCCGATTATCATTAAATGCCTTCAGTGTGTAAATAACCAACTATTGACTAGACTGACTTCACAAATCATATTTTCCCACTTAAATCTACCAGATTATGTTATAAACAATTTTTTTTTTAAGTAAACAAGTGACTATAAAATTCTTATCTTGTTTTCCTTATGTATTTATTGTGACTTCATATTAAGTGTTCAATCCCATTAGTCAAGAGTCAAATCATGAGTTACTTATGATTTTTTTAAATCTTGATTGCAAGCTTGAGTTATTTTCCCTCTTAGGAATGTCCAGAGTATGAAGATATAATAAGTGATGTGAAAGATTTAGCGTCTGTGGTATATTCAACATGTTATTAAAATTTTACAATTTTATGATATGATTACGAATTAAAAGTCAATATACAACTGTAATGTTATCCATGGTTAATTGGTACATAGTTAACTAGTAAATCAGTTGATGAGGTTGTGAATCGTCATCAACTGAGATGGTTGGGCCACGTGTTATGTATGCGTGAACACGATTACCACGACGTGCAATGCTAACCGGTGTTGGAGATGGTTGGAAGAAGGTTAGGGGCGACCAAACCAAAACGTGGCATCACTGCTTGAAGTCACTAACTTGTGGTCTGTACCATGTTGGTAGATGCAGACTACTTGGTTGGGGTCCGCGTGACTGTCATAACCAATGGTTGGAGACTCTTGGTGACATGACTCAGAATCGATCACACTCTCTGTCTTCCCTTAAACTAAGAGATTAAAATCACTTCATATCTTTCTTTCTACGAACTAAATCTTTCTTCCTGTACTATGTTCTTATATACAATCTTTCTTTTATAAATTACCACCTCTGCATTGACTACTTATATTAATCCGGTGTTCATCTTGTTGTGTTAATGAGGTATGGCAACTTGGACAGATGCATATATGTGCCTGGTCCTTCGTTGTAGCTGAATGACTGACTCAATCTAATCAGTCATTGGTATCAGATGCCAATGTATAAAGATATTCACTAGATAAATAGATACAATTTATTATTTTATCATGTTAGTAAATTATCACAATCAGGTAAATTCAAATGAATCAATTCTGAATTGATTTATTTTAACTAATAATCAATTAATTATTACAATCATCAACAATTATCTGTTGTATACTATTTACGCAGAGACTTTAGAAGTCATGAATTAGTTCTATTTTATTCACATCAATAAATAAGATAAAAAGAGGAAGTAATTAATTGATAAAGATGAATAGTCTACGATCCGATAATGTAACATCAAAACATCTTGAACATTTTAATTACACAAATGATTTTAAAGATTTTTCATGTTTTTATACTTCTTTACCTATTTCATTATATCCAGAAAATAGTCCAGTCATTATGAAAGATATGTGTAAATCAAGAAAATATATACCGACTACAATAATTGCACCTGATGGTAGGTTCATTGCTCTGTTGTCTGTATTTTTTAAACTTATTACAAAGTAATATTAATGTATCGTTTTGTAGCTCCATATTAAGTAATAAGATTTACAGAAGATTAGCAACAAAGTTGCTTTGAATCGATTAATACAAAATGATTAAAATATCCTGTGCTTAGATACTTTGGGTTGTTGTTAAATTTCAGCATAACAGGTTAGGAACTGATACAAGAAATATGACATTTTATGTTGCTTAATGGTTCAATAATGAAAATACGGATGTCAAGAAAGAAAAAATGAATAATATTCTATCAAATTGTCATGTTAAGAAAGTGGCGCGTAAATGTATTTGTCTATTATGATCACGTTCATAGCGTGCTAAGTTAAATTATCTAATGAAAGTCTTGAAAACTACCTTTCAAGATGCATTACTCCCTGACTAAAACCATTACGTTATTGGAAAACTATGACATTTAAATTCAGTTCACATTACAATGTCTTCAGAATATGTTAGTAAAATATCGATATAAAAATATTACTTATTGTTTAACAATTACACCTTTTATGTTTCTACATTAGCTAGAAATAGGGCTAGCTTTCATTAGAAGATACCCTACTCACTTTTATTTGATAGAGGCTAAAGTACTGAGTTAGATTTAACCTTTAAGTTAAAATAGTCATAATCATTTCAATATACTTCGGACCTATTAGTTATCTATTTGGATTTTTCAATACTACTATATTCGTTTAAGTAATATTAGTAAAACACTTCATTTTTAGGTTATGTACCGAATTCGCCGATTCGGATCAAATTGAAAACTTTGGGAAAAAAAGATTCCGTAAGTAATATCATTCATGGATACGATATGGAAATAATATTAATGTATGTTATGTTGATACGTATTGGTTTGCTTTCTTTGAATCAGCGTAGAGTTTATAATGAAATAAATTAATTATAAGCAAACACTTAACAGGTTAAAATAATTTGTAATAGTATTGTAAATGTGTACTTATAGAATAGAAGAAAATTATAGAATTTTACCACAAAACTGTCAAAGTCTTTTGATCCACAATTTTATACTTAGATTAATTTAAACAACTCTTGAAAATCTACAATGAGTAGATAACTAGTATAGGGGTTGTGGATATTAATAAGTTTTTTCTTTGAGAGCATGAACCGATTGATGTTAGACCATTTATAAAAACCTGGAAGTACTGGACGGCCGTTTCGTCCTATTGTGGGACTCCTCAGCGTTGCGCGTCCACGATCCCGCTCGCCGGATTCGAACCCGCGAGCAGGACCGTAGATGCGCACTGCTGAGGAGCCCCACAATAAGACGAAATGGCCATCCAGTGCTTCCAGGTTTCCAACGGTGGTCTGACATCAATCGGTTCATAATCTCAATAAAAAAATGAATAGAGAGTTATTCATCTGAAACAAATTCAATTATAAACATAGTTGGATGGTAGCTTGCACTGAAATTCAGGGCGTGGATCTCATCCCATTCAGGACTCGTCAAGCCGATGTATCTGTATCTTAGAGTCAATTTTTATTGTGGCAATCAGTAGCTGATTTGATAACACGTCATTGCTTGAATTAAAAGGTAATGGGTACGAATACATAAGGGAACATGATTTCTAATATGCAGATACATCCAACTGACCAGTATCAAATAGAAAGAAACGCGTTTGTTAGACTCCACTACTAGTCACCATCCATCTCTGTATATTATACTCGTAACTCAATGGTAATATTGAGACAATCTGTATGGAATGCATATATGTGAAATGAGACTGATCAATTGTAGTGTTGAATATTCATGGGAAGATCCAAATAATCAATATATATGAGTATACTATGATTGTTTATATGATAATGTTTGAACGCAAACATTTATACCGTCCTCTTACATATCATTCTTCTTCCTTTACATGTAGAGAATCTTGTTTGCCTGTCATTTTGTGTACAATTAAATGGTAATATAATTGTCTGCGTTCCCTTACTTGATTTTATTGAACTAATTAATTGTTGATAAACTGACTCATAAAACATACACAATTTTCATTTTAATGCAGGGTATTTTTCTCACTGTTAATGTATGTGGTTTGTGCTTGAGAGTGATTGGTTAGTGTGTAGTGACCAATGTAATATATTTTTGGTGTTTAGTACTATATATGGAATTGTGTTGACGAAGTTGCAATGTGGTCATTAGTCTAGGTGACTCGACGTCGCGTGCACTATGATATAATGCATTACATAAAGTAATGTAGGAAAGCTCAGTCATTTGGAATTTACTTAGTTATATAACGTATAATCATCGCTGAGTTTTATATGCACAAATAATACCTGTTTTAATCTATTATTCACTGAATTACTAATTTCATGTGAATCAAGTTCGCATTAAGTTTACCTTTAATTAGTCAAAAATATTTAGTATGCATATGTTTTCATAAACAGTTTACAGTTTCTTACTGATATAGTAAATGTTTGGTTTAAAAAAATGAAGTAGATTCTTGATGACATAATGATCAAATTAATTTTACTCATCACACAACGAATATAAAGTGCAAAAAAAAACAAACAATGAGCTAAGTCATAAAACCTTTCCGTTTTATGAGTTGTCCATAATCTATATATCATTCTGTGAAGTGTTTTTTTATTATTTAATAGGCATTTAGGAACTACACTTTTTAATGTTTATGATGATAAAACAAATTTAATACTGGCTGTCCAAAACATTATTTAATATTTTTCTATCATATCAATAAAGTGATCGAATGAAGTTAAGAATATGTTATAACTAAAATACGGTTCACTGGAACTAGAATCCAGCGAATAATATTTCCAAATTTAGTTAATTTACAGCTCATAACCAATTAGACGATTTAGACTTCGCACATGACCTAGCTCTCCTATCCCATACACACAAACAAATGCAGATAAAGTCAGCCAGTGTAGCAGCAGTCTCTGAATCAGTAGACCTCAACATACACAAAGGGAAAACCAAGGTCCTCAAATACAACTCGGAGAACATCAATTCAGCCACACTTGATGGTGAAACTCTGGAAGATGTAGAATCTTTCACGTACCTGAGAAGCATCATCGATTAACAAGGAGGTTCAGATGCAGACGTGAAGGCGAGGATTGACAAAGCAAGGGTCGCATTGCTACAACTGGACAACATATGCGACTCAAAACAACTTTCAATTAATATAAAGTCAGAATCTTCAATACGAACATCAAGACAATGCTACTGTACAGAGCTGAAACTTGGAGAACTACAACAACCATCATCAAGAAGGTACAAGTATTTATAAATAGCTGTCTACAAAAGATACTCAACATCGATTGGCTGGATACCATCAGCAATAGCCTTCTCTAAGAGAGAACAAACCAGCTTCCAGCTGAAGAGGAAAATATGAAAAGACGTTGGAAGTGGATGGGACACACATGGAGAAAATCATCAAACTGCATCACGAGGCAAGCCCTAACTTGGAATTCTGAAAAGAAGCAGAAAAGAGGAAGGCCAAAGAACACATTACGTCGGAAAATAGAATCAGATACGAAAAGGATGAATAACAACTTGGAAGAGCTGGAAAGGGTTGCCCAGGACAGGGTTGGATGGCGAGTGCTGGTGAGAGGCCTATGCTTCATTGGGAGTAACAGGTGCAAGTATGTAAGTAAGTAAACAAGTAAGTAAGTAAGCAAGTAAGTAAGTAAGTAGGTAAGGATTCTAGTTCATTGATTCACTAATATGGAGTAATGTGTCGAACTTTGTATAGGATGGTGAGTGAGATATCCTTAAAGATTTTAAACTAGAAAGAAGTTGTTGCTCAACTCTTCTTCGTAATCAACTGCCTCTCAGCCAGTGACAGTTTATAATAAAAGTGTCATTTGGAAGTATGAAAATCTCATAACTACCTTAGTAAGTGATTAACGCTTTGTTTAGATTTTGAAAGTAGGTTAATATTTAATTGTCAACTAAAATAACAGTGATCTATTTATTTGAAAAATAAACTTAACCGATCCATAGTAATAAATATTTGTCATAATGATTACTTATGAAAGACCTTATAATCTAATAATAATTCACTACTTCCTCATTTCGTTTGTATAATTATCGATTATCTCTCCGTTTCATACGTAATTTAGTTAGTTTATTAAAATAAATTAGATATGATTTCAGTGGTAATTCATTATTTCAATATTCATTAGTTGAATTAATTATGAAGGAATCAAACTACTTTCTAAACCATTTAAATTAGTTTAACACTTAAATGTTCTTGATTCCCTTTTTTTGTAATAAAAGGATGCATAGAAATTTATCTACTGAATTTACAAGGTTCAGCTATGAATAAAAATATTTTGTATTTTTCAAAATTATTTAATAATAATGTTAATGAGAAATCTATAACTAAAACTGATGAATAAAGAAACACTGTTACTACTTAAATGATTATTTAGATTTACAGATTAAATCACATATACATTTTAGTTGGAAGGAAGTTTTCATTTGTTAATTAACAATATTTCGAGAAATCTAATTAACTAGCGGGATCGTGGATGCGCATTGCTGAGGAGTCCCACAATAGGACGAAACGGCCGTTCAGTGCTTCCAGGTTTCCAATGGTGGTCTAATATCAATCGGTTCATGATCTCATTCAATAACTAGAAAGTATTCTAATCACTATTTTCTGACTTATCACTAGTAAGTAATGATTAAATAATATTATTATAGCCAAGAATAAAACATCTTTGATTCAACATTATTTATTTTCAATGATATTCATTGTTGAAAAGTATAAAAATAGACTGAAACAGATACTCGTCACTTATTCATTTTTAATGATTTTCCAATTGAAGTCATGTTTTCTTTTTCAATTGAATAAATTTATATGAGCAATTTATATACATTGTTAGTTAGGGTTTTTAATTTTATGAGACACAGTTGATTTTGTTTACTTAATTTTGTATATTCTTCAATAAAAATCATCGAGTAGCTTGGATTTATTTGATGATGAAGCGTTCAAAAGTGATGTCGACAGTTTCACAAACATATAATCTGTAATCCTATCCTGAATGTTTAGTTTCCTTAAACCATGTGAACGTATAACCATTAAATATAAAATAAACGACTTTTGTTGCTTTGTTTATTTACGACGTGAAGGTCTTTCGTAGTTAAAATAATCATAAAGGAAATCTAGATTTGTGATTCAGACTGACATATATATATATATATATATATATATATATATATATATATATATTTAATGTCATTGTCATAATGAGTACGATTAAGCTCTACTAATCCCTATCTTATATCGAATAAAGTATGCTTTACTATCGAGTTACTTATCATTCTGGCGACATCGTAAATTATGCCAGCAGATTTCGATCAACGCATAACATGATGACATTAGTTACTACCCGATAACTGATCAAAGTTACCTGTAATATCTCATAACGTATTAGTTGTAAATACAACTATATTCATAACATTTTTACTTAAGACCTTAAAGTATTCGTGAATTTTGTTTTACGATTGTACCAAATAAAGGTAAACTCCTTAAATAAAAATGCGTTATTTTATTATTTTATTAATAAGTGAATAGAGATATAAACATCACGAATTGTTATTATGTAATTTCAAAAATTATATCTGACCTTTTCATGGAACATACATAAGAATAGAAAAGTGAACAAAGTATAAATAATGAAGCAGAAAATGTAGGATATTTAGTATAAAGTTTATATATCTATATAATATGTCCTGCTAGTTCATGATGAAAACTAGTTTTTATCTATCGAATTAATGATATATATGCAGTAACATAATACATTACTAATATAATATCATCCGAAAACTAATTTATAAATTATCGACAAATTACCCTTGTTTTTATTTCTAGTCAGCAACACAAACATTCACTTAGTGAATAAAATGAATTCATAATTAATTACTTATGATTAAATAGAGTTGTTTTTTTGTTGATATCAATAATGTCATCATTACACTCGGAATTAATTGCATTGGATAATACTTCATACGCCGTTAAAATATATTTGCCTACTTTCTAATTTATGTTACTAACTAGTTAATAGTAGTCTATGAATTATTCTTCCAAATATTTACCAGGAGTTATTTTTTACGGAAGTGTTTGTCTAGTCTTTGGTCTAATTACATGTGAATTCATTAGTAGTCATTGATGAGAAGTCCTGAATTCGAATTTGATAGTAATTCAAAGCTCTTTGGCTCTTAGTGATTTTCCAAATAGAGTTACTTACTCATGAAAAAAATATTTTCAAGTTTATTATTTGAATTATCCTTGAGATTATCCAAACTTTTCTTTCCAAATTACTACAGTGGTCAGTAAGTTTTATTGAAAATTTAGAACTAAGATGTTCATTCAAATGGAACTGACGCTATATAGTTCACCTCTAACAGCACTCAAGACCACTGCATTCACTTCTAGTATCATCACTTCAATAAGAGATTGGAAATTCCCAGATATATATTCATCTCATACGACAACTTTTAGATTGAATTAGTAACAAATATCGATGTTTTAATTTGCTTGGAATTCATTTTGCTTAATCATATCCTTTTAATTTTTAAGATATTAACAAAATACTGTTTAGCTAATTGATAGTGAACATGTTTGTCAACTGTTCCGATCATTTTCATAGTCATTATAATCTATGTCATAAAAAACATTCATTACTCTAGAAATTGAAATAGATACAATTTTGAGGAATACATCTTCTTAGTTCACTTACATCCTATATATGGTTATTTTGATCCTTCCCATTACAGGGGACATTTCATAAGAATAACTATTCTGCTTATGATTACATCCATTTAGTGAAATTATGGTTGACAACTTTTCACTTGTTTTCATTATGAAGTAATGGTTTTCAGTCTATCTATTAGATTTATTACGATCAAATGTGGGTTTGAATGGAGAAGAGAAACATTAGACTTAAATACCATTAATTAAAAGAATAGAGAACAATTATTTACCACTGAACACTTCATTAGAGAAATAATTCTAGACGATTACACGAATTAAACTCGGATAAATAAAATGATCATTTTAAATACATCAACATAGTTCCTTACAAAACGAGTCTTACATATCTCTTAGGTAAGATACACATTGAACTATTCAGTTTCAAATCTTTTTCTCTAGGTAACAAATATATCCTTGTACACCTTTTATCTGGCACTTTTAGTGAATTCATAGTCAACCACAAGATAAATATAGAGAAAAACAAGTGGATCGTACATGTTGCAAACATCAGGAATGTTAACAAGTGGTTGCTGAGAGATTTTAAAAGCAATAAATCCTTCGGAATAGAGCTGTTATCTATTTTATCAGGCAGGTTGAAAACGTTTATTGTACAGCAAAATAAAAGTAATAGACACAAGAATACAAACTTGACTTACTAATATTTCAATAACGAAAAATACAAATCGCTTAAACGTTTGGAATTGAAAAAACCATACAACGTTGGTGAAAATAGCTAGCATAATTCTGAAGATACATAGTCACATCATATGTAATGTAATTATTAAATTCATTAAGGGTTGTTTGCTTGAATGTTCCCATTGATTTTTAGGACTGCAATTGATCAGTCACTTATTGGCATATTTGCATCATGTGCGGATTGCCTCGATAATGCCTTAATTCACAAGCTTTATAAGCAAAGATGGATGGTGGTTAGCGGTGGAATTCAGGATGCGCGTTTCGTCCTATTTGGGACACGTCAGATGGATGTACCTGCATCCCAGAGTTTATGATTGCTCTGGGACTCGAACCCAGTGCCGTTCGCTTCAAACGCCATCAAGTTATCCACTTAGCGAATGGTAGTTGGTTCGAGTCTCAGAGTGAACATCAACTCTCGGACAGGTACATTCAACTGACGTGTCCCAAACAGAACGAGACGTGTGTCCTGGTTTCCACTGCTAGCCACCATCCATATTTGCTTATGATATTAGTTATTCTTATTTGAATAATAGACTTAAAATGCAAAACAACTATAAAATCAAGTTGATATAACATCTAGCTGTCAGTAACTATAATTGTTCACTGTGAAAGTAATTTATTTAGAACTGACAGTAGCCGAAAAATGATTAGAAATCAGGGAGTATTAGACCTTTGTATTAATTTCGTACTACTCAGGAGTATTCAGTAAGAACCCGATAAGAAAGTTAATTTATGATCTTAACGACCCTTGTAGGTTCAGAACACAAAATTAGAACCCAACAATAGGCATTTCTGACTTCAAACAATAATCATATAGTTAAACATGTATAATGAACCAAATATTCTATTAAGAATAATAGAAAAAGTCTGTATTCAGCTAAGGACTTGAGTAATTTGTTATTACGGATGAAAATAAATTTATTCATCATTAATTGGTTGAATAAATTAAGAAACGGAATAATTATCTACTCGTCTTAAGTGTTATTATAAAATAAATGACCATTTGAAACATGGGAATAACTGATTTGGTAGGAATGGTGGTTTACTGAAGCAATTGAATTTTAATTGTTAACAAAATATATCACAGAAAATTGAACCATTGGCCAAATTACAAATTATCTTAGGTCACAAAACAACTTCTGGTTTTTCACTTCTACCTGTTTATTAGTAATGCAAGTAACTATACAACCTTTATTGACTCACTATTTCCTAGGAGAGTAAACGATTGTTACACTCATCTTTGACGAAACTAGTTTTATGGAATTCGATGAAATTTTCATTAAAGGAATTAATTGGTGAAATTCGGTTATCACTGGCATCTAGACAAACGTTGGTTCTCATTAATCAATCGATGCAAATATCTCAATCTTATCCGAGGCCCGAATAAAATCTTTAACATTTTTAAATGTGACATTATATGACTCGTTAGAATCTCGCGTAAAATGTCAGTTCACGATTGGCTGAACATATACCTTTCTGATGAGTGTGATTTAGAATGACATCTAGGTCCAGGGTTTTTGATTGCCTACAACCAACTAACATCCGATTCATTGAATAAATTTACTTAATTTATCAAAAGTCAATCATGAGCATATAATTGATTTTATTCTTTCATTTGTCATTCGCAGTCTGATGAAAGTGCTAACAAAATATTGTCATCTATAGTTTCAACGAATAATGACCTATTAACAGTTAACGTTTTAAATAAACTACCTAATATAATGATCAATATGAAAACTGAAGAGATTGACAATCCAGAACGAGAAGTTGGCATTATATCAACACAATCTTGTAGAAATGTGAATAAATATGATTTTATAAAAGAACAAACAACTACTCATTTGGTTGAACAAATTAAAAGGCAGACCACTCAACAGTATTTTGAAATGAAAAGTAAGCAACTTTGTATTTGTAAAATAAATTGTTTGGAAACTACTTTTAAATATAAATATGTGAAACTATATCATAAGGATTCAAATGTGTTAAGAAAAATATACCTATCTAAATGCATATGAATAACTTTTAAAAGTATTATATACAATTGCTGACTAAATCCTAATAATCTTTTAATTAAAACTATGTGAAGATTTCATATTCATAGAACTGTTTGATAGATTTCCTTATTTATTCCTTATGTCTTTTCTCTTTTATAATACAAGGAGATATAAGTGCAAATGAAATGAAAAGAAAAACACTAGCTGAATCAGAGCATCGACAAGAAACTACACGAGTAAAAGATAACAATTTAATTGATTATCTAAAAAGAAGCGATGAGAAAACAACACAAAAGAAAAGTGGTACGAGAATAAATCATACTCTTCCCACTGGTATGGTTAAAGCATATTTACAACAAATGAGTAAAGAATGGGTTACACTTGCTAATGTAATGACAGTAATTCATCAAGCAATTAAACAAGATCAATCAAGTATTTATTTACTGGATAAGTATTTCAAATCAACAAATATTAGAGTTCGTATGATTAACACTATAATTAGTCCTAAATGGACTTTTCTTTATTTAAATAGTTTAATTGGTAATCCACAAGAATTAATGGAACATATTGACATCATGTTAAACTTAAAAACAACTGTAGATATTATGAATAGTATGAGAACAAAATATGAAGGTTATTTAAGAGACAAACAACATTTAGACTTATTTTTATCTTCATTTAAAACAACAAGAAATATACTACAAAATCATTTAATCAATATAGGCCTACATAAAGAAGAAGCTTATATGATAATATACAAAGCTATTTGTAATGATAATGATGCTAAATGGAAGATTAGCCATTTCATGAATATAAAATTCCCTCAAAAATTAATTGATGCATTAATAACATGCAATAAAAAGAAATTGAAAAATTTAATTCATAAATCCATTCAAAGATCTAAATCATCTTCAAAAATAGTTTCTTTGAATTTACCACCTTTAGAAAGATTATTAAATGATGATAATTCTATGAAGGAATTGAATGAAGATAAAATAAAAAAAGAGTAGTATCAGATACTATTGAACAGTTGAAACATTCAGATATTATACATAATCAGTTACAAACATTGTCTACGGTGACTGAATGTTCAAGTGATGATGTTGTACAAACAGAAGTGAAGTCAATTGACATAATAGAAGTAGGTTTATTTATTGTTATGATTGAATATTTCTTTTTTTTATAATTTTAACTCATTAAATATTATAACAAGTAGGTGAGAAGCTATTTTAAACCATCTTTATTGTTTGATAACTGAAATGAAATAGACTTATGAATGGACTTGGTTTGAATTCATCGGTTGTTTGATATTTTTGTATTGAATTTGAACTTAATATCAATTTAGATGTAAAACTTTGTGAAAATGTATCAAGCTTATAGTTTGATTCATTATTAAGTTTAAGATCAAAAACTTGATATATTACTATATATATAGATCTTTTCAACAGAAGCCTATAAGTGAGATGAGAATAATTTGTGTTCCCATGAAAAATGACGGTATCAAATCAATCCTTAGAAGAAGTACATTTTGAGATAACAGAAAATTTTTTTTGTGTAGTGAAAATCGATTATAATATATATTGTCCTAGCAGATATTTTCATGGCTAACCTCGAAAGGACCAAACTCAAACGAGCGATTGATGAAATGACGTATTATTCAAGGTGTGTTGATGATACCTTCATCGTATGTAATAATAAACAACATGCAATAAATCTGCTAGAGTTTTTCAACGAAGCACATCCGAATATCCATTTCACTATGGAACATGAAAAAGAAAACAAGTTCCATTTTCTCGATATCGCGATGAAAAGATGGTACAGTTCAACGTTCAGTTTATAAGAAAGACACATGGAATGGTAGTTATCTTAATTTCAATAGCTTTTGTCCAATCAGTTACAAAAAGGCACTGGTCAAAACACTGTTTCACAGAACAGAAAGAATATGTACTTCCGATACACTAGAAGAGGAAGTTATGAATGTTAAGAAATGTTTAAAGAATAACGGATACCCACTGAAATTTATTGAGAAATACGGCAAATGTGAAGATAAAAAACCGAAAGGAATTACAGCAAATAAAAAGCCTATTTTTATTCAACTTCAATTCAAAGGTGACGATGTCACAGGATCAATCAATATGAGACTAAAAACTGCACTGACAAGAACTTATCCTGCAGCGAAATTGATTGTCCTGTCCAAAACAACATGTTCTTTGACACAATCAAAGGTCGACAGGTATCCCTTTCATGTTACCACCAACTGTGTATACAAATTTACATGTACCTGCCAAAGCAGTTACATTGGTAGAACAGAAAGGAGAGCCTACGTCCGATTCAAAGAACATATTCCGAAAAGTTTAAGGTTAAATGGATTGAACGCATTCAACAGTGCTATCGCAAGACATCTCCTTGATACAGGATATGAAGTTGATATACTGAAGTCCTTCAAGGTGATTAACAAACAATCAAACTCCAACCTTTTGAAATTCGCTGAAGCGTTAGCAATCAAACGTTTAAAACCAGATCTATGTATACAAAAAGAGACAGTAATAAATCTTTCTTTACCCTGGTAACAATAACCCCCACCCTTTCTATTCATTTGCTCCTATTTATTTATTTATTGCGTCATTATTGCAACTCTTTCTGAAATATAAATTACATCATACATAAATGATTGATTTCAATTCATATTTTCTTTATTACCATCAATCTATTTTCATGAGTTCTAATCACTATTTCAATGTTCCAGAACTTTCCCTCTCTAACTTTATTTATTTATTCGAATCAAACATTTTATGAGCTCATTAACTCTATTTGAATCTTTGCTACATCATGATACACATGTATTGATCCTTAATCACACTCTTATGTATAAATATGTCAATGTCTGTAATAACGTTGATTTTCAAATATTTTAGATTGTAAGCAGCTGATGAGAACCTAACGAAATAAAATGAATTCATATTATTCTGCACCAATCTTTGTTCTTGCTCTATTTAAGATAATAAAGGGGACTATATGTATGAAATTATCACATAAATAGCACCAAAAAATTCCTATACAGTCTATAAAATTCCTTAACCCATTTGCTTTTTTTAACAAACTGTAAATACTTTCACTATTCAGAAATGAATACAAGTATATTCTATATTCACATGGAATTTATTTGTTGCGATGGTCATTTGTCAAAATAAAAAATTTTTTCTTACATATAAAATCGTCTTGTCATCAAATAGCCTTAGATACTAAGTGGTTGATTGGTTATCTTAATCACTAATATGTTTTTTTTAAAAAAGGTATGGAAATTATCGTTGACTTATAATCTGAAATTTTTCTAATACTGACAGTATTATTAAATAAGATCAAAATAAACTTATTTAGGAAACAGTGAAACAAAGCAATCAATTCGATATGAACAATTTAACTTCAAAGGATACAACAAGACAGGACAGTTTTAACATAACTAGAGTATATAAAACACTTGATATAATGTTTGAATATGATGAAATGTTTCACGAAAAGAAAGCAGGTGAACTAGATGAAATGCAACAAAACACAATGGAACTTCAAACAAATGAACTAATCAAATTTAAAAAATGGAGACAAACAAAGTGCAATAAAATGCCTAATGAAATCTTAAAGATAACAGGATCTTCATCATTTAATGAGAAAGATGTTAGATTATACAAGTATTCAAATAAAGCTTTCTCAACAGATAAATCTGAAAATTCTGATGAGAATGATGAATTGTTTGGATCTTCTGGCGACAAACGTATTTGTAAAAATTTAAATATGTCACATAGTAAACATATTAAAAATGATGCTTTAGAAAACAACAAAATGGAAATGTACTTGGTTGAACAACAATTCAGGTCATCACCTCGTAAAAGAACGTCACAGAGTCAAATAAAAATGGAAGAATTTCTATCAAATTCTAAAGAATTTTCAGCAAAGCAAGTTAAAGAATTGTCAAAGGTACCTTTCCCATCTTTAAGTTTGGAAAGTCTTGAATTATCTTACCACGATTCAGTGAGACCAACGAAAAATGGCAGAAATCTTGCAGTATTAAAGAGGTAAGCAGTTGGTTTGATAGGGTACAGACGATTCTTAATAACTGATTATTTCATATGTTATCAGTTAAGAGCTGTAAATGGATCTAATATAAATCAATTATTTACTGTTGCCTGAATGTTTTTAATCAAAAATGTCTATTTATGGACACAACACTCAATTACAAGTATCGTTTGACAGCTAAATGAAAGTCTCTGAAGGACCCAGCGTAAGTGAGACTGCTTTTACTTAATGCGCGCTATAACGAAAACATCAGTGACTGGAAAACCACATAACAATAGTAAGTGGATCAGTTAAAAGGTTGTAACGAAGAGAATTAAATGAATTTTTTTGCTTTCTCTTAGGAATATTAGTTTTACAGTAAGTGATTCCAGGATTTCTCTGAATGCATAATTAAGGAAGATTTAAGTTTGTCACGGAATGCTTCACATTGATACTGTACTTTTGTAAGGTCAGCAGCACAGGCAAGAATTCTCAGTTTAAAACCGATCAACCAGGAATAACAATAACTTAAGAACCAAACGATGTATTAGATACGATTTCACTAAGTTACTGCGATAGGAAATCCTAACCCTTACACTGTAGTGAAAGGTGTGGTTGTAAGAATGTTAACATTAATCATTAAGGAAGATCTTGGTATCTTGTGAACGTAGAAGTGAGACATTCAGGATTGTTTCTAGGGATGGGGATATGATTTGTAGCTCATGTGGATGATTTTGACGGAGTTTTGTTCTTTTAGCTGGATGGTTTGGTCGTGGAGCCTTCATCGTTCTTCTGAACAACATCATCAGCACAAACGTCAGGTAGGAGCGGAGTGTTCTCATTTCTCCACACATGACTCATAGCTTGTTCTGTAAGCCTCGATCATGATTGAAGTCAATTACAGTAGACAAGATTCATCTGTTAACATTTTCCACCGGGATTAACCCAACTAAAGTGAGCAAGGATGAATGAACAATAACGGTTAAAATTTAGAAAATCATTAATTTGTAGGTTATAATTAATCAATTTTATCTCAAAAAGGTTAAGATATTTGCATTGATTTATTGTAGAAATATAATGGCTGATGAAACTAATAAAATGTTAATTAGCAGCAAAAACAGTCTCAATAAACAAAGGACACCAAAAAAAGAGGAAGTCAATGTAATTAAAGCCCAATACTTTACAAACTATAAAGAAAATATGATGAATAATAGACAGCATCTTCCTAAAAGCACATCAGTTAATTTAGCAAACAGTATAATAAATAAACACGGTTTTGTGAAAGGTAGTTTGACAAGTAGAAGTGAAGAGTCTTTATTTGAAACAGCTTTACCTACAAAATCAGGCCCAATACACCCGGGATTACTTCCACCAGCAATTGTGCAGATACTACCTAAAATAAGGGAATTGAGAAAGCAGGAAAACCTCAGTCGAACTCCAATGTTCACGAGTTTGTTAATGAACTTTCCGTGTACAAAATCAAAACAAATTAAACGGCAAAATTCAGAATTTGATTTTTTAGTTAAAACGTCATATAAATTGCCTTCATTACATGATAAGGTAGAACAAGAAAAGAGAAAATTAGAGGTGAATAAAATGAAAATAACAAATAAACTTGGGTATAGAAAACAAATTTCAGAAACTCCAAACATTCAGGTAGAGCCTTCATTAACTATCACGTCTCTTTCAAAAATGGGATCAATTTCGACAATACAACCAACGTCGTCAATTACTTCACGATCTACTTATCAAGTAATTCCGCAAAAACCTCATAAAACACAGAAAAAAGCAATAAAACCGTCAGAAAATCCATTAGATATAGATATCAGGAACTTTGATTTGAATTTCGATACACAAAACTTTTACAGTGGTTTGGCAAATTTCTAGAGGCAAACGTTATTTCATCATATAAGCAAGAAGATTTAATGACAACACTTAAACTTGAAAAAGATAGAATACCAACGTTAAATCCATTGTGTGAAATATACTGGGGGTCATCAGGTGTTAACCAAGGAATACTAAAGCAACCACATTTTGAACTAATGTTTAAACAAATATTACTCATGGAATTAAGTAATTCACTATCTATCAAAAGAAAACAATCTAAGAATAAGAAATCATTTACTTTGCCAATAATTGATATCCCAACACGAAATGTATCTTATCAGACATCAACTTCAAAATATATGGTCAAGAAGCAAGAGAATTTCCTAGTTCATAATGTAAACATGCCTCTTGATGATTTGTATAAAAATTTTAATTATTCACCAGATAAACTATCATTAAAAGAATTAACGAAAATCAAAACCGATCGTAAAAATACTTCAAAGGCAATAAACTTGTAAGTTGTATTGATATAAATTATTTTTGATTGAGATCATGAACCGATTGATGTTAGACCACCGTTGGAAACCTGTAAGCACTGGACAGTCGTTTCGTCCTATTTTGCGCTGTGCTGAGGAGTCTTAAAATAGGAAAAAACGGCCGTCCAGTGCTTCCAGGTTTCTAACGCTGGTCTAACATCAATCGGTTCATGATCTCAATCAAAAACTTAATAATCTCTACAACCCTATACTGAGATAAATTAGTTGAAAAATTAATTGTGTAAGTAATTTACTTCTGGTTTTTTTTTGGTAAACAATGCAAACGAAGAAAACACTTTAAATCTTATTGATTCTTATTTATTTTAATTAATATCCCTGGTAATTCATAACTTGAAACTATACTGGAAGTTACCTGCTTTTTATAATTTCTAGGGTGATTTTATTTTAAAAGATTTCAGTATTAAAAAAAATCATATTTATTGCTGTAAACCAGAATTAATGAGTTTTGCAACCTATCAAGGTTACATAACAAAATCATATATATTCCACACATTTATTTCCTGTTTTTATAAAGTGAAAAAAGGGAATAAGAATAGTGTTTTAAGAAGAATAACCTAAACTTATTTTCATTTTAAAATTACAAATGAAGTTTATTATATTTTTATGTAAATAAAGTTAGCCAAAAGTTGATGTATAGTTTATTCCACAGTCATATTGAGAGAGTAATATATGTAAAGTAGAGTATTGGACTCGAACTTAGTGACACAGTAATACAGTATTTAGTTAAAGTTACAAAACAATGACTTTACAATTCATTGAGAGAACAACTATTAGTTTCATAGAGATAGTCTTTTAAAAACACACAAGTGTTTTATTATCATATTTGGAATCGAGTGAATACTCATGAAAAACATATGCTCACTAGTGACTGGCTTCAAGATGTATATCCTGGAGTTCTAATGAGAAGCAGTGACCAATGGAGTTCAACAGGGTCAGTTGTAAGTTAATAACTCACTGATGACAATGGTGGATGTGCCGCTCAATTTCGTGGATTAGTTGAAGTTAGACATTAACACTGTCGGATGCCGTCTCAGTGGTCTAGTGGTTAAGTGGTCGTGCTCGAGATCAGTAGATCCTGAGTTCGAATCCCGCGAGGCGGGATCATGGATGCACACTGCCGAGGAGTCCCGTACTAGGACGAGACTGCCATACAGTGCTTACAGGTTCTTGTTGGTGATCTAGCTTCGCGTGACTCATGATCTAAACTATTAATATTTAGATTTGTACAGATATTTATTACAAATAAAGTTAGGTTAATTCAGTAATGTAAATAGAATCACAATAAATAATATGAATGGCAAAAATCAAAATACAAATAAAGTAATTGGTATATATAATAACCATGTAATAATGATTATTTAATCAACTAACACGTATGTAGATTTTAAAGGAATATAAGCCATTTCACTTCATACACATAAAAAGTCACCCATTACTGTGATTATAACCATTGATAATAAATTAACAATCCATCAAAAATAAGATTGTGGAAAACTATACGAATAAATAATGCAAAATATAAAATGTCAAAAATGTACAGTACATATATTGTAACAAATAATGTTAAAATCTAAGCAAATTATAAATATTCAATAAAATGAATTCACTTGGTATTGTTTACTTGAATCTTTTCATTGATGTTTAGGACTGCAATTGATCAGTCTCTTATTGTCATATATGCATATTGCCTGGGTTTCAGTGCCAGCTGATGAATCAGAAATAAGACGAAACGCGCGTCCTTGATTCCACTGCTAGACACTATCCAGTTTTGTATATAATTTTATTAATAAGATGTTCTAGATGAAGATAATATTCAGTTTGTAATGTTAATTTTTTTATTCTTGTTAGCTTGTGTTTATTTACTAAAATATTGCCTAAATACTTTATTAAAATCTTCCAAATGATATGCGATTGTAATATCTTATTCAATCTTTTTTAATTCTATTCAGACTCTAAACATCATTGTTACACTATACAAATATATGTTAACATTTACTTTAGCCTAAGTTTATTGTTATAAAATCGTGATCGATTTCTCGTGTAGTTGTGTTCTCTGTGACGGATAGTTCAATCACGAAGCTTTCGTTGCCTTTCCATACAACATCATTAGCATGAACTTAAGATGAAGCACAATTTATTTAAACTAAATTAGGAGTTGTAATTACGACTAAATAGAAAAACAATTTACTGAGTTTCAATTTTACAAAAGTCTCAGTTCAAATGTATGAATGATCTAAAGTGCAAAATGCGTTGCTATATGAAATATCAGATTCATTAAACCCTTACGACCAACTTATCAGTTTGACCATAAGTCAAATCTAAATAATGATTCCCTACGCCAATAATAAATATTTATAACGATCTTTTAGTTTCAAAACTTGTAAATCACAGCTTAATTAAACATGTACTTCTGATTTTCTCAATTTCTACACATTTTTATTAGCCAACTAATTATGTATATCGACAGGGTAAAGTAATAATGAGGTTATGTAAGATGCTTACAACTTATCATTGAGACCACATGTTAAAAACCCACAGTGAGACACTTCATTGATTGATGTGTTTCTCTTTACCGATCTGTCGGAGAAACGAGCCGAAACGACATCGGGATTCTTGCATGTAAAGTCAATTATATTTGATATAGAATATGGCAAGAGTTAAGGTTATCAAAGTTCATATAAAGCGCAATATAATTCATAAAACACCATACAAGGAGCAATGTCGAGACGGGAGATACATACATAATTTGTGTAAAATCTAGAATCTTGAGTATGTTACTTATTATTATAATGCGCTGTAATAATTAAGTGTGAAGAACACTATTGTAAATAATTATTAAGGTTATTTTACTTAATATTTTCTTGGTATTTTTTTAACTGAGAAAGAATATGCGGGTGTAATGACAGGACGTATGAAGGATCAAAAGCGTTTCATGTAGATTCAGAACAACATAAGATATCAGATAAACGTACCTGTCACCCAATACATGGAAAGTTTCACTGTCGTTATGAAGCACTGGCGAGAAAAAAATATCAGAGTTTAGGTCTCTCAATTTCCAATCACATTACTTGGATGAATTTAATTCAAGAATGTGTGCACAAACCAACTCAACAAAAAAGTAAGCGAAATAACTTTTTCTAAAGTTTTCCTTTATGTATGTGTGTACACATATAATTTTATGGGCGTACATATTGTTACCTTGATAGAGAGTTTAGGAAAGTCACAAAAAGATGTGGAATGAGTTTAAGAATCCAGAGGCTACTTTTAAAGGCACTATAAATATGGATTCAGCAGTTGTCAGATGCTTGAATAAAGTTGTTAGAATAGGTCTACATAAGCTTTCACGCAACGTTGCACTCCTAAATTGTCACTATCCAAAGGAATAAAACAATAGCAGACCCGATAAAACCAATTGAAACAAGCGGCAATTCTGATCAGACAGCTAATTTTAGACCGCCTGAAGTCAAAAGCGTATGTGAACACTGGACTATTTTCTCAGTAGATGGAATATCAGACTGACTAGTGAAGTATATTTGTGTACGCAAGAACTTTCAAATCAGTTGACCTAATAAATCAAGATCATGTCTAAGGCAGGAAAGCTAATGGGATATCGAAGCTAAAACCAAGTCCTCATGTCCACCAGTCTAGTCAATTGCATCTTCAAAAGGCTTCGTAAGGAATGTCAATCCAAAATTTAGAGACAAAATTCATAAAGACCGCCGACTGCATTATTGGGTGATTTCTTTATTATGGTACTGCCTAATCCCTTATATCATACTTCTTAAAGGTTAATAACGGAGATACATCACATACGAATCAATCCTGACTTCTTTTTCGCATTTGTGACAAAACAGGATGGTGGCTACCGCATCCAACTTTCAGTCGTTGAGTTGCAGATTCGAACACAACTATACCTATTTTGATTTAGATAGGTGAGAAGTATCACCAGACCTCACGTAGAAAGGTGAGACAAAGTCAGTTGCACAGACTTGAGTTTGGTTGTTCAATTGAATTGATTTCAGTCAACAAAAGGAAACACGTATCATGGAAGAAAAACCGAAATGTTAAGACAGCAGTACTGTGTGAACGGTGTTAAAGATATTGAGGAACTATCAAATTGTGGCCTATTGACATCGGTCGTATAAAGATAATAATACTGCATGTAGTAGTCAAAGAATTATTTATATTAGTTATTAAACATGTGCTGGGAAATAAAGTATTATCAAATCAGCCCGCGAATTTATTTACAAATAGGTTGGAAATGACAATGGGAAACACCCTGATTTTACTTGGAATTGGTTTCACTAGTGTGATCTATCTTTGACTTCTGAAGCATAATTTTTGGTGAGAGTTGAGTTGGTTTGTGCACACATTCTTGAATTAAATTCATCCAAGTAATGAGATTGAAAACGAGAGCTATATATTATCACACAAAACAAGTCAATTAGGACAGATACAAATGAACATTGGGTCAGAAAAACTCACTAAACACATACCCTTTATACGGAGGTCAAGTTGACTAATAAGCGCCTAAAGACAATTATACCCTGTGATAGACTTTCTCTTCTACATATTGAAGAGGTAATGACTAGACTTCCTTATGCAAAGTGCTTTTCAATACAGAAGTGTCTTCTAACTGCTTCATATATATCGCGAAGAAGTAAACGAACATTTGGTCGGTTTATGTGAGATGAAACATATTAAATATCAAATACAGGATTGCCGTCTGGAACAGATAGTTACCGAATTCGGAATGTATTTACACTTTGTTTTTCTAAAGCAATTGAGTATGATTTCCTAAAACATTGGATAGCATATACAAAAACCTTGTCGATGTATAATCGAGCAATCAATGTATAAATTGTGAGTAGGTGATTGACTAGAATGATATAGTAAGCAACAGTATCGCACAGTTCTGTCACTTTATTGGATAATGAAAGAACAAGTTATTTCCCCAAAAT